TAGAAAAAGTGGCCCTTTTCTACTCTTCCGATTGCCCCCCAACCCACCCCCTACCCCGACCTGGACCTCTGCCTTGGTGTTCTTAACCGTGAGAGGGACAGAGGGGACTCAGTGACGCTGGTCAACCCCTGGATACCGCCTGCCACAAGAATTGTCAGCCAGAAGGGGACAGGGCGGCAGACAGCGGGCTTCTTTGTTACAGGCTTGAGCTCTGGTTTCTCCCCCTCCTGGAGGTCCAGAATAGTCTTCTGCCTCCCTTTCCAAGGTCGCAGGCCCTGGCGCAGAAAACCGCGGGCTTCACGGTTCATTGAGCCTTGTCGAGACTCAGGAGTGGTGGTGGGGGTAGCCTCCCCAAGGTCACACAGACAAGCTTCACTACTCCATCCAGCGTTCCGGGGAGCCGGCTTCTGGCTCAGTGCGGGTCGAGGAGGTCATGAGGCTGCACCCTAGGCCCACAGAGAGTCAGAGTCGGTGAGCGAGGGGGGCGGGGAGGCGGCGCTGGGAAAAGGAAACCTGGCCGCCTTCCAGACCCGCCCTCTCTCCTCGGAACCCTGTGCCGAAAGCGAGGCCGCAGAGGCGAGCCCGGGTGCAGTGTTGGGTTGAGGAGCCGAGGAGTCAAGCCACCAAGTTTCCCCCCTCCATTCGCTGGGTCTCAGGAGCCTCGAGGCTTTAGAGAACACACAGGGGAGGGCTGGAACTCTTGCACCCAGTCGACTGGCGCCGTGTCCCGCCTCCTCCGAGGCGGGCCCCTGGACCCACCCTCCCCTCCAGCCACCCCGGGGGCGGGCCGGTCGGGAGGGGCGGGGCTCAGGGCAGGACCGGCGCCGAGGCGCTGGCGGGAGGCATGGGGGTGGCTGTGAGCAAGGAGTCGCGCCGGGACGGCCCACGAGGCACCCGTACCGCGCAGGTAAGGACGGGCTGGAGGGAGCGCGTCTGTGCGCGGACTTGTATCTCCGCGCTGTACCCACTCGGATTCAGAGCTCTGACCCCTTCCGGCCGCTGAGTCTCCTCAGTACTAGGTAGTACTCACAACCCGCTGGTATCGTTCGAAGAAACCCCTTGGCCTCGGCAGAGTTCGAGTGCACAATGTCGCCCTCCCTGTCCCAGGGTCGCCGGCTCAGACTTAGGGGTGGCGCACGGGGAGCACTCGGGGGTCGTGCACAGCACGAGCGCAGTGCTGGAGCCTGAGGGGCCTCACCCAGCCTGGCCGACTGGCAGGAGGAGGTGACGCGGGGCTGGCTGGGCAGAAGGACTGGAATCGAGAAAGCCAGTAGGTGGTGTTGCCCGATGTGACAGCAGCATGGGCAAATGCCTGGCGGCTGAAATAGGATCGCGGATTTGGGAAGCTCCGCGTGGGCCTGGGCGGGCATAGGAAGGAAAGCTGTGAGTTATGAAATCCGTGAAGTTGGAGGTGGGGTAGGTGCGTGCGTCTAGTGCAAGATGCTAGGAGCCACGGAGGTGCTGAGGGGAGAGGCCCAATGAGGACTGTGAAGGGGTAGCAGTGACAGCCCGCTCCCTTCCCTACACTGTCCAGCACTGGGCATGCTGATTGATCCAGGAAAACCCAGGAAAAAAGCCTCCACAGAAGAAGCTTCCCTGCCTGTCCAGACCAGGAAATACCAGAGTGGGTGCCATGACAGGGTGCGGCTGAGGTGCCTGAGTGGTCAGGTCTGAAAGGGCAGGGGAAGGCCCCAGTGACCTTCCTCCAAGGGACCCAGCTACCAGCAGAGGCCAGGAATGCAGAGCTTAAAGCAGGTCTGTCTACTGGTTAAATCGCCTAAGTGACAGGCAGCTGACTCACCTGAGCATGCCAAAACTAGCCGGTTCTGTCCTCATCTCTGCCTGTTGGTGAGCATCAGGACCAACTGAGGACAAGGCAGGAACTTCTGTGTGCCCTTAAGGGGGCTGCTCAGCCATACTGAGCCACCTACCTGACGGGAGGCTGGAAGCTAGCAGTCTGGGTCTGAGCTCTGCGCATGCTCCACAGATAGTGTCTCTGGGCTCTCCTGGCCTTCTGGGCCTCGGTTTCCCCATGTGTACATCCTGTGTAGCTTATCATTAAGAAACCTTTGACAGCTGGTGGGAGGGAGAGGATGAGAGGTCATGCCAGAGGGGTCTGGGTTGGGAGGTGGAACTGGGAGCTTGGGAAGGGCATACATGTACTGGGTCCCACACATATTAAGGTTCAGCCCCTGGCACCTAACACATACACTCATGCAAACTCATGCCTGGCCTTGTCCCTACCCTCACAATCACTGCATCACCTCCTGAATGAAGTGTGAAACACCCTAGTCTGGGAGCAGAGCTCAGTCTGCCCAGCCTCAACTACAGCCTTCTTCCCTCTCCTGCCCCTTCAGCCCTCCCCACCAGCCTTAAGTACTTTTCCTCAAGGTAGTATGACTCAGTTTCCCAGTGTTTGAGATCCTTTTGGGCCAGAGACCTGAAGAGTGTCAAGAGTAGTGATAGAGATACTGTGTGTGAGGAACCCTAGAGTTGGTTTGAGAGTAGGGGAGACTAAGGATCAGTCCCCTCCACCTAGAGCAGTTCTCCCTGACCCATGTATCCTTTTGAGAAAGACTAAAAATAGTCTGCTCTAGCTGGGCCTGGAGGGGAGCAGACTGGATAAGCCAGACATGACCAGGCTGACCAGCCTGGTGGGGATCAGGGGCCTTGGGTGTAGGGCAGGGGGTGCCACTCACTGTTCATGATGCAGGGGCCAGGCCCATGGCAGAAGCAGGGGATGGAGACACTCCAGGAACACAGTCCTCTCAGACTGGGGTGATGTGATGATTGGGGTGGGGGGTTCATTCTTCTAGGTAGCAGTGGGATGAGAGGTGCTGGTATTCAAGGCCTCACACCTAACCAGTCGTTTACCATAGTTTTTTTGTTCTGTTTTTTCCCCCAGTTCCTCCCATCCTGGCTGTCCCCGACCCCCTCGCCTCTGGCCAGCCCTGGATGTCCTTGCCTGTCAGCCCAGACCTCTGGCTGACTCCCAGCTGAGGTTGAAAGGTCAGCCTCAAGGGATCTTTTCATTCCATCAGTGTTTGGACCTAGATGAGGGCCACCTGGTCTGGGCCATACTTGCCTTACTCCAGCCCTTTACTTAGGACTCTCCTGGTCTTTCTAAGTTGACAGGGACTGAGGCTGCCTCAGGGATCTACCTAGAGAAAGAATGGCTGCAGCTGGCCTTCCAGCCCTTCCTCTTCCTGCCTCTCCCTCCCTTGACCTCACCCTTCTCTTAGGCAGTAGCAGGAAAGGTGGGGCAGGAATGCCTGGCCCAGGCCCTTGGCTAGAGTTCTGAGACACCCACCTCACCCTGCCTGGCCTCAGAGACAATTCCAAGGATGTCATTGTTTTGCCAAGGGCCTAGGATGCCTTATGGGATCATAAGGCATTTGCCTCTTTTCTCTTGGTCTCTTTGGGTCTCACTCTGTTGCCTGCTCTGGTACTGTTGTTGTTGTTGTGAAGTGTCGTCGAGTCGGTTCCAACCCATAGCGACCCTGTATAGCGTTTCCAAGGAGCAGCTGGTGAGTTTGAACCACCGACCTTGCAGTTCACATGGCTTTGCAGTCTGGCGCATTAACCCACAGCACCACACCAGGACTCTGCTCTGGTACTGTAGTGGTTACAAATTGGGCTGCTAATCTCACGGTCAGCAGTTCGAAACTACCAGCTGTTCCTCAGGAGAAAGATGAGGCTTTCTGCTCCTGTAAAGATTTACAGCCTCAGAAACCCTGTGCAGGGTCACTATGAGTCAGAACCTATTCCACGGCATATAACAACAACAGCTGCTGCCTGATCGTCATTAGTTGCCAGTCATAGACTGTCCATTGATGCTCCAGAGCCAAGGTCTTGGACTAAAAGAATCTCTGACTCTCAACCCTGAGAGATCTGGTCAGTTCATCAGGGCAGAGAATCTCCTTTGCTAAAGTGTGAGGTACTGCAGCCCGATTGTTAGGAGGCTGCATTCCTAGGTGGTCCCTGCTCCCGGGTTTCCTCATTCCAGGGCAAGAGATCCAAAGGTTTAAACCCACCTGCCCAGCCCCAGTGGCCCCCACTTCTGGAGTGAAACCCTTTAGAAGGCTTTGCCTGGTTGGCAAGGGGTGTGACAGGGTCTAGGCTCCTCCTATGTTGACCTGTCCTTTTCTGCTTCCCACCATCTCCTCTGCATCTATCTCCCAAAGCCCAACTTTGGGTCCTGCCGCTCCTTTGCTCTAAAGTCCTCCATGGCTCCCTATGGCCAAGTCCTGCAGTCTACTTGGAGTAAGGCAGACCAGGTGGGCCTGAGGCATGGCCTTAGCGCCAGGACTTTACTTGGGGTTGGTACACAACTAGGCCAGCTAGATAGGCCACATGGTGGCCTAGCACAGAGGCTGGGCCCTCACACACGTGAACCCTTGCTCTGGCTGTCATGCACCTTTATGCCATGTCCTCCTCTCTGTCTCTTTATCTCTTGCATCCTTCATGCCCAGCAAGAAGCTTCCAGGCACCTCCCATCTCTTCCCCAGGCCTCTTCGTATAGTCCTGTTGGGTGGCAGGGAGCCCTGAGCCACAACCTTGAGGATAAAACTAGCTGCTTTGACCACATATCCCTGTCCCCAGAGACTGCAGTTCTCTGAGGCAGACTTGATGTGAAGAGGTTAGGTCAGAACACCAGTAGACATTACCTTGGGCCCTGGAAAATCATGAGAAGTGTTTGAATAGAGCAGTGAGCAGGCCAGAAGTGGATTTTATGAGCATCTGCTTCCCTTGGTAGTTCTCAGTCTTTTCTTCTAGTCTTTCGGGTTCCCCACTCCTGTGCCCAGGCAGAGAGCAGGACTGGACATTAGCAGCTAGTTCAGGGGCTACCCTTTGAGATGCCATTATTCAGTCCTGATGTGGGGCAGTCATGGGCCTTGCTTCTGGCCACCTGTCTCACTGACCCTGCCCCCCTAAGGGTTAATGCTATCTGCTTCTAACCTGTGTTTGGCCCAGGAGGCTTCGCATTTGGCACCCTGGCCATGTGTGACCCTGAAGAGGCAGCCCTGCTACGGCTAGAGGAAGTCTTCTCCTCCACCCTCGCCCGCATCAACAGCCATCTCCTCCAGCCCCTGCTCTTGAACGGTGAGCCCATGCCCTCCAGTGGGGGGATGCAAGAACAGTCCAGGGACATGCCCCTTGGGCAGGTGGGCTAGCCTCCTGGAAAGCCACACCTTTCTCAGCATCCAGTGGAGGTAGTGACTCTTAGCATTGCTGTCTTTTGATGTGACGAAGCCTGCAACCCCATGGTTAGCTGATCTCTTTTCAAAGGGACTCTGAGGGCCAGGCCATGAACCCACATCCTTGTCCTGACTGACTGCACGTAGAGACTGATGCCGCCTTTTCTGGGTCACAGGCCTGTATTTGACCGAGCTTGCAGTTTGTACCCACCCAGGGCATCTGGTGGTACCAGAAAAGGCTGACTGGAAAGTGGGGTACCAAAAGTTTTACTTTAGCTTGGAGGTGAAGCTGTAAGGAGCAGACTCCATCCTCTCAGGGTGTCTGTGTGTATACCTGTGAAATGGCAGAGGACCGACGCCCCATAGGACTCTACATTCTGGATCCCATGAGTCCAGGGGCGTGGAGGCGGGGTTCATCTGCTGAGTTTTTCCAGTTCATCAGTGTTAACCTTCTTTAGGGATGGGGTGGATACTTGCCCCTTTTTATCCTTCAAGGGATACAGGACCCAGGCTATGGGGTGCTGCTGGCCCTTGTGTGACCACAGGGGCCTCTGCGTGCTCCCTGCTGATGCTGTGGCTGTCTCACACCTCAACCCCAGAGCCCTCAGACCTCTGGGGCTGGGAGTGCCTGCAGCTCTTGGAGCAGCTGCACACAAGCTCCCAGCGGCTCTGGGAAGTGACCGAGGAGAACCTGCATTCACTACGCGAGAGGCTGCGTCACCCGGACTCCGTGGGGCTGGAGTCCCTACTGCTGCTGCACAGTGCTGACCAGGTCCTGCAGGCCCACTTGGAGTAAGGCAGACCAGGAGGGCCTGGGGCTTGGCCTTGGCATCAGATTTGGCCTGCTGTTGGTGCTCAGCTAGGGAGGTTCATCCTGGGGTCAGGGCTTACCTATGGTTGTCCTCACCTGGGCTTTGATGTGGTAGTGGTCATGAACCTGGAGCACCCCAGAGATGGGAGACTTTGTAGTTAAAACTGTCTAGTCGGGGCTAGGACTCAAAGTCACCAATACCCAAAGCCAGGCCAGTGGCTGGACTCTCAGGGCCTCAGCTGCTCAGTGCGTGGGAAGAAGGCTCATGGCTGGGGTTTGGAGCTGTGGTGTGACTTGCAGGGGGCCCTCCGCCTTGTCCACAGGTACATTGATTCCTACACGAACTGCATGGTGCTGAAGGCCTTTCAGAATGCAGCAAAAAGCAAGATGTAAGCACAGGCACCTCCCTGGTCCCCAAGTAGTGAGGGTCACAGCCCCTGACTCCTTCTGGAACATGCCTGGTGCACACCGCCAGGGGAGGAGGGAAGACTTAGTGAGGCTGGGAGCAGAAAGCAGACACCTCAGGAGCAGGGATGGAGGGATGGAGGGGTAACTCCTGCTCAGGATGCATGGTCACAGCCAGTAAGCTCCCCCACTCCCCCCAGACACTGCTCCTCAGTCTCCAAAAAAGGGCTTGTCTGTTAGGAGAGGTATAGGGGCTGGAGCTGGTGCTAGCCCTGGGTCCTGGGGGATTGATCAGGGAAGGGAGGTGCCGGAGGTGGGCTCAGGGTGGAGGGGTGATGTGTGGCCCCTCCTCAGTAAGTACTGGCGGGCCCAGCGGAAAGTGGTGCTGCAATTCCTGTCAGATGTGAGCTCCCAGAACACAGGGGGTCCCGTGCTGGGCCATGCCCTCCACCAGCCGCTTGTCCACCATGTACAGCAGTATGTCCTCCTCCTGCTGAGCCTCGGGGACACTGTCCAAGAGGTGGGTGTAAGGGATCCTGTCCTGGGGGCTTTGAAGGGGTTGCAGTCTGCTCTGGTGGTCTTACTGGGTCATGGGTCTATCATGGGTTATCTGCAGCACAGCAGAAACCCAGAGAGCAGATGTAGTGGGTATGAAGACTGATGGTCCAGGGCCAAGCAGGAGGAACCAGCTAATGGTCCTGACTCCCCTAGAAGCAATCCCTACCCTACTGCAGAGGAGGAGGCGTTATCAAGGAGAGAGGGGTGGACTTTGACTCGGCCAATCATCCCAGGATGGGGAAGGGTCTAATAAACTGTGCTCCAGCCCTGTGCTTACTGACTGCCGGTTCTGCCTGCAGAGTCACCCTGCCCGGCAGCTGGTGGTGCATGCAGCCACCCTCTTTGGGAACCTGCAGTCCTATATGAGGCAGGCACTGGACCAGGCAGAGGACACACAGGCCCTCTGGTCCACCCTGAGTGACCGGCTGAGGGTGAGTGATCAGGGGAGGGGTTCCACACTGCATGTGGGCCTGCGTGGTGGCTCAAGCTTCTATGCTCTGTGCCCCAACCCACCATCTGGAAGAGGAGAGCCAGGTGGCCTATAAGGTCCCTTTGTTCAGCACTTCCTTGTTGGTTTCCTGAGCACTTCCTGGGGCGGGTCACAGCAGTGGTCACACCGTGTCTGTGGTGGGATCTCACTAAACAGTCACACCCTCATCACTTCCCTCCATGGCCCCTGCTCTCCCTGCAGGGACAAGAGTCTCCTTGAGGGCAGGATAGATTCAGTGTAGAGAATCAAAGCAGGTAGAGGGCCAAGAATTGCCAATCTCCTGGGTAACAGCAGATGAGGGGCTTGACTGGGATCCTGGTATGAGGGTGGGTGCAGGGTAAGGGTGGAAAGGAATGACACCCCAGCCCCATACCTTAGAACTATGATTTGAGCCCTGTGCCTACCACTGAGCTAGGGGTGCTTATGTTCCCTGAAGGAGGCCTCCAGGAAGTATTGAGTGTCCTGAGCCAGCTCCCTCAGCCCCCAGTGCCCAGAGGGGGCAGGTGGCAGAGCAATTGGCAGCTTCCAGGACAGAAGAGTCTGAGCGCTATCCCTCTCACATGCCCTCTAGAATGAGCTCTACACCCCAGCTCGCCGGCTCCTGCAGGACAGCCGGGACATTTCGGTGATGGTCTCCCCACTGCGGGCGGACCGTGTGCTGCTATTTGACGATGCCCTGGTCCTGCTGCAGGTGGGATGGGGCTCCCTCAAGGCCTCGGGGCACAGTGGTCTGTTGGGGTCTGCCTGAAGGAGTGGAACAAGCAGCCTTGGGGAACTAATCGGAGATAGAAAAGCCAAGTGCAGTGGTCGGGCCAAGACCTGTGTGTTGCCATCACCCACATGTCATGCCGGGAGAGTGTGGGCTGGGGCGATAGGCTGCCTGAGGTATGTCTTGCTTACATATCAGGAGGGAGCCAGGCCTGGACTTTAGGAATCATTGCTTGGCCAGTAACTTTGACTATGCTTACTTCCTATTGAACTCGCTGCCCTCTTTCCATAACACCATCTTCTCTACCCCGTTATCTGTCAGCCTGGAAGTTCCTTAAGTTGCAGACAAAGGAGACTAAGGTCAGGGAGGCATGCTACTGCCCAGTTCTGTCTTAGCTCTCTAGTAGGATAAGCCCTGGGCTGCTAACCTCAAGGTCGGTGACTCAAACCCATAGGGTTGCTTTGAGTGGTATTTTGACTTGCCGGCCCCTAACAACAGCAGCGACAGCACTAGAATAGAAATGTACAGTAATTTATTCTCTTGTGGTTTAGAGACTAGAAGTTCAAATTAGAGTGTCAGATCTAGGGACAGGTTTCTCTCTCTAGAAAGATCCATCTTTCCTTTCAACATCTGTGGGCCCAGCATTCCTTGGAGATCTCCATGTGTCCTGATATCAAACTTTCCCGGGTCTAGGAGGTTCTCAGGGCAGGAACCCAAGTCCAAAGAATGCTCTCAGTTCCTGGCTTTTCATTCTTGGTGGTCCTGAGGTCCTGTCCCTCTCTGCTCATTTCTTTTGCCTTATATTTCTTGTAAGATTAAAGGTATGGCTTACGGAAAGGTGATGAGTTGAGGCATACCCTTTAGCAAGGCCGTGACTCAAGATACGCCTCACACTGATCTTGCCTCATTAACTCACGTTGTTGTTGTTGTTGTTGTTGTTGTTGTTGTTGCTCAGTGCCAGCGAGTTGACTCTTAGTAATCCTGAATAGGTTTCTGAGAGCAGCTGATGGCTTTGAACTGCGACCTGGTGGTTACCAGTCCAGTGCTTATCCTACAGCACCACACCAGGGTTCAATTCACACATAGAGGTTAGGGTTTGCAACACATCACAAATTGAAGAACAGTCATGGTCTAGCCAAGTTGACACCTATTTTGGGAGGACACAGTTCAATCCATGATAGTCCTGGTGGCATGTGGCTGCCATGGTTCCTGATGGCTGGTTTGGAGGTTCTGATTTAGTTTGAATTCCCCTCCACTTCTGACTACACACTCTGCTCCAGGTAAACTGAAGAGATTCCATGCCTTGAATGTGCCAATCTCTTTCCCACCTTTGCACATGCTGTTCGCTCTGCCTGACCCACTTCTGTATCTGGCCTGCATCTCGCAAACTCCTCCTCACCCTTCAGGCCTGGGGCCTCTAAGAAGCCTCTCTGCTCAAGGAGTGGTGATTAGCTTGCCTGGGCTGGGCCAGGGATGCTGCACAGAGTGTTCTCAGAGAAGGGGTGTAGGTCTGGCTCTTAGAGGAGGGTGCCACTCCAGACAAATGAAGGTTCAGAGGGTGGAGAGTTGTGAGCAGGGTCAAGAAGGTGTAGGCATGCAGCAGGTGTGCAGTGGCTCTTCCATGGGTATGGGCACATGAACATGGAGCATCCTGTGTGGGACTTGATGATGAGGCTTAGTGGTGTGGGCTCCATCCTCCAAACTGTAGGAACCTTAGAGAGATTTCCACCAGGGACAAAGAGCAGAAGGAGGAGGGGAGGCTGATTCTGGTCATGGCCTTGGGTGGGAGGGAAAATGGAGGCGTAGGTGGGGTGAGTGATGGGCTGCTTGCCTGAGCATCCTGGGAGACTTCCAGGGGGTGCTTGTGGGCAAGCCTGGGCCAGAGGTATAGGTGAGTATCTGGCTTGGGCTCCTGGTGACACCTGTGCCCTGCTGCCTCCTAGGGCTACCGTGTCCACACCTTTGATCTGAAACTTGTGTGGGTGGAGCCTGGAAAAGATGGGTGAGCAGCCCCTCCATTATCCCTCCACCACCATGGACATTGCCCACTCTCCAGGGTCTTCCCCACCCTCTGGTGGACAGAGCTGGGGCTGCTCATCACCTCTGTCTATTTAGGTATACCTTACATGTTCTCACACCTGAAGAAGAGTTTGCCTTTTGTGCCAGGAACCCCCAGGGCCGGGTAAGTGTGGGTGAGCTGTGAATTGGAGTGGTCAAGGGAAGTGAGGGAATATAGGGCAGGGGCAGGGCAGGGCAGGGCCTGGAGGCTTGTCAGGTCTCTGGAGTCTCCTGGGATCAGTGGTTGGTCTTGGGCTAGGGTCTAGGTCAGCTGAGGTCAGGGTTCAGGCCTGAGGTCAAGCAAAAGAACACTGTAGAGAACAAGGCATTTTCCTTCATGAAGCCAAGCCCGAGGCCTGTGTTGATGTCTGCCCTGTGGTGTTGTCCACCAGCTCTGGCAAGGCCCTGAAACTGCAGATGGGTATCTCAGGCCTGGCTGAAGGGTCCTGGGCAGCTGTGTGGAGAGGTTGGAAGTTCCCCCAAGTGGTAGCTGGGTGGGGGAGGGCTCGTGGAGTTGTCAGCAGCCTGCCCCTGACCCAGGAAGGCTTCTTGGAGGGGATGCATCCCACACCAGTGACCTGCCCTGTGTTTCCTCCGTTCCCACCAGGTGGTCTGGCAATGGAAGGTGACCCAGGCTGTGTGCCAAGCCCTGCGCGGGAAGAAGGACTTCCAAGTGCTGGAGGTGGGCCCGGAGCCACCAGAGCCCCCCAGCTGCCGCTGCGTAGCATATACCTTCCGCATGGGGGGCCGACTCTGCCAGGCCACATACGAGGGCGAGTGGTGCCAGGCCAGACCCCATGGCAAGTGAGTGACCACAGAGCCAGGCAGGGCTCCTCCTGGGCCTCAGTTACCTCATCTGCCAAATGGGGACGATGGTCTCTTTCCCACCTTTCTGGGATTGTGCTGACCAGCTGAGCACCCTGGGCAAGGCACTGCCCTCAGAGGTCTCTCAGCTCTCTTGGTGACAGCATTAGGAGTAGATAGGACCTGCACAGACCTAATTGCCTGAGGACACACACTAAGGAATATGGTCAGTGAGTCCCATTGGTTTACTCCCAGAGTCTCTCCTAAGTCTACTTGGACAGGGCTGACCAATCTATGCCAAATACTAGTTTTTGTTTTTTTAAAAAATAATTTTAGTTGCATTATTGAGAATATACACAGAAGGACATAAACCAGTTTAGCAATTTCTCCATGTATGAGGGAGGCTTCTTTAAGTTTATAGAAAAATGGGAAAAAAAGATAATGAAAGTTTTCCATGCACGTTTTGATCTTCCCTTGTACAGTTCAGGAACATTGACTATATTGTGTGAATTGTGAAGCCGTTCTCAGCCTTCTTTTCTGAGTTGCCTTCCCACATGAACACAGACTCACTGCCTCTAAACTTCCTATCGAACTTGCCAGTTTCTGTTGCGCCTTTGATCCCTTGTAGACAGTCTTCAAACGAGCTTCATGCTCACGGCAGACATTCTTTAATAATTAAGCTAATTTGGGGGATATTTTTGGTTTAAGGTTTAAAGATGATCCATCACAGGCTAACAGTTTTAGGAGTACATACAGCCTCAGTGGATACTGAGATTGTAGATGCCATGGGAATTCTAAATTCTAAATTTTAAATTCTTCTATAGTCTCTTTGGTCAAAAATTTCAGTGATGGTAGAAGGGCACCATTCAATTCTGTTAAATATTAGTCATGATGCATGGGGCAAATCTCAGGTGACAGGCCTGCAGGTGACGTTCTCTTCTTGGGATGGTGGAGAATCATTCTGTAACTCCATAGCATTGTCTGATGGTAATGGAAAGGGTTTGTACACGATCTGTCTCCACTGATCCTCACAAGACAGTCTGGAGGAGTGTTATAGATGTGGAAACTGAGGCCCAGGGACTGGCATGACCTGCCTAAGGTCTCAGTGAACCTAGCCTCAGTGTAAGGCCTTTAGAGAATACCACCTCTACCACCCCATAATATAGCTGGGGAAACCAAGGCCCAGATAACAGAAGAAGCTCACCAAGGCTATGCTCACGCTGCTTCACAGGAGAGAAAGATGAGGCGTTCTGCTCCTGGAAAGATTTAAAGCCTCGGAAACCCTGTACAGGGTTGCTATGAGTCAGAAATGACTCAACGGCACTTAACAGCAACGATCTACTTCCAGAAAGAATTTTAGGAGGTTTATAGACAAGGAGCTCTCGTAGCGTAGTGGTTACGAATCATGCTGCTAACCTCAGGATCAGCATTTCGAAACTAGCAGCTGTTCCACTGGAGAAAGATGAGGTGTTCTGCTCCCGTAAAGATTTACAGCCTCAGAAACCCTGTGCAGGGTCGCTATGAGTCGGAACCGACTCCATGGCACAAACAACAACAACAATAGACAAGGAGCTCTGGTACCATAGCGGTTACAAATCAGGCTGCGAACTGCAAGGTCAGCAGTTCGAAATTACCAACTGTTCCGCGGGAGAAAGAGGAGGCTTTCTGCTCCCATAAAGATTTATAGCCTCGGAAACCCTGTACAGGGTCGCTATGAGTCGGAACTGACTCCACGGCTCATAATCAGCACTTAACAACAAAAGTAACATAGACAAAAAGGGGGGGAAAAAAACACTGTCGGGGGAGAAAGAATGGTAGAAACCCTTGACCAGCATTTGGCTTGAGCTTCCTGTTGGTCAGTGGAAAAAGGGAACCTGGATGTTTCCAGGGTGCTTTCTATGGGGTGTGGTGGGTGTCTTTCATGACACGGCTGGGGCAGTTGTGGCAGGAATCAGGAAGGTCAGAGAGATTTTCTATGGAGGGCTTATGGCCCAGACATGAGGATTGGTAGGGAAGGGAATCCAGTCTGGGGTGTACCTGGGGCTTAGGAATGTTTGTGACTGAGGCTGGCTGTTGTGTGCTGAGGAATGGGTCTGATATGCCTGATGTTTGTAAACCTTGTTTGTGTTCTAGGGGAACCCTAAAGTGGCCAGACGGGCGGAACCATGTGGGGAATTTCTGCCAGGGCCTGGAGCATGGGTAAGGCTGGCTGGGGCTGCTGGGGAGTGTGGTGGGCAGGGGTGTGGTTTCTCCCCTGCTCTCATCACCAGTCTGTGCTCAGCCTAAATTCCCAAACCTCAGGGAAAACTGAGGCCTTCAGTAGGGGTGGGTCTCAGGTTGAGATCATGGAGAGGGAGGTGTTACAGGACCTAAAGGGTCATGGGGCAGGGCAGACCAGAGGGAGGGGATGTCCTGAGAGGAACTGAGGACCTTTGAAGTTCTCTCCATTGTCTGAGAAGGTCCCTTGGAGGCAGGGATGCTCCAGTAGCATGGAGGAGATGTGACAAGGGAGCTTAGGTCAGGCTGCCCAGTGAGGTGGCCTGGTACTGACCTTCTGTCTTGTCTAACCACACCTGATCAGCTTTGGCATCTGCCTCGTGCCCCAGGCCACTGAGGACAAGTTTGACTGTTACAAGTGCCACTGGCGGGAAGGCAGCATGTGTGGCTACGGCATCTGTGAGTAAGTAACATCTTGGCCTGAGGGGGCCGGAGTGGTTCCTGGGATAGGCATGTGCTCTGGGCCCAGTTCTGCGAGTCAGGGCTGGATGTCTTGACTCTCCAGGTACAGTACAGACGAGGTGTACAAGGGCTATTTCCAGGAGGGGTTGCGGCATGGATTTGGTGTTCTTGAGAGTGCCTTGCAGGGCCCCCAACCCTGCAAGTACACGGGCCACTGGGAGCGGGGTCAGAGGAGCGGCTATGGCATCAGCGAGGACAGAGACAGGTGAGTCACACTCAGAAATGATACGCTCTGCCTAGGGGCTGAGGGGACATACCCTGTCTTGGGGTCTGAGGGGACAAGTTCCACCTGGGCTCTGGGGTCGGAGGGGACTACCCTGCCCTGGGGTGTGAGGGGACAGGGTCCTATCCTGGGGACCTGAAGGGCAGGCAGGACCCTCACAGACCCAGTTGGCTCAGTTAGGCTTCCTGAGGTAGCTGGGCCAGTGTTTACCCCTGGAGTCTCCTCAGTCCCTCTCTCCTCTCTACTCCCTCCTCTATACTCTCTCCTCAGTTACAGCTCAGGCTGAGATCCCTGACCTCCCATACTGCAGGACTGCCCTCCACTCTGACCCCCTCATGATTCTGAGCCCTGATCAGCCCCATCTAAGGACTGCTGACCTTGTCCTGGCCCTTGAGGCCTGGACTACTCACTCCTCTGACCCCAGCCCTGCAGTGTCCCCATGCCCCTTCCAGCCTTTCTGGACCACTGACTACCTGTCCATATCTGTCTAAACTCTCCTGCCTCCCTGGCTTTGCTCCTGTGTGTATCACACCCTACTCTAAGTATCCTTCCTGCCACCTCTCCCAGGAAGCCCCCCAGGGTGTCCTCTCCACTTTTCCTTCCCTTTGGGAATTCTGACTGTACCTGCCCTGTATCTGTTGAGTGCCTTCAAATGTGTCACTACTCCACCCTCCACCGCATGCCACCACATTCTGATCCAACTTTGTTCACACCCCTCCTTCCCCAGAGGCGAACGCTATATCGGCATGTGGCAGGCTGACCAGCGCCATGGCCTGGGCGTTGTGGTCACCCAGGCAGGCATCTGCTACCAGGGGTCCTTCCAGCTGGACAAGACAGTGGTGAGTGGGGTGACCCACATGTGTCCTGAGCTGCCTCTCTCCCTACAATCAAGACTGGGCTGAAGATCTAGAGCTTTCCTTGCCTGGGACTGGTCAGGGTGGATGGGATAGGATGCTGGGTTCCTGGGTGCTAGGAAAGCTGAAATCTGGGCTGGAATCCAGCTTTATCGTTTGCCTACCTTGACCTTGGCCAAGGCCCTGCTCCTCCCAGCCTCACTGTTGCCATTGGTGACTCAGGTTAATAGTATTTATTATAAAGCCTCAATGAAATAGTAAGGAAACAGTGCATTATGATGTACTGCCTCAGGTCCAGGTGCTGGTGGTCTTCAGGCTCTGCTTCCCTCACTAGCCCCCTAGTTTGGAATACCCCCACTCAGAGCCTGGGCAGGTGTCCCCGAGCTGACCCACTCAGTTCTCTAACTTGACGTCTGGCTTAGCGCTTAACCTGCAGTGTGACCTTGTGTAATCCTCCCAGGAGTCTTGCTTGTTGACCGACATCTTTATCCCTAGCATGACAAATGTGAGGCTCAGAGAGGCCAGCACCCCGAATGCTGTCTCAGCTACATGGGTCAGTGCTTGGTGCAGAGTTAGGCTCTGGTGTGATGGCTATTTATGTTCTACTTTGTTGTGGAAAGGATTGAAGGAGACCTATAAGACAAGGAAAGAGGAAGAATGGGGCATGATACGGACTCAGTAATGAGTGAAACACAATTTGCATCCTATTTTGCTTTGAGCTTCCTGGCGCCCAATACAGAAAGGGATTCTCGTTGGCTCGACTGTCACCAGAGCCAGTGACAGGAAAGCAGGGATGGTTCAGGGGAAGCCTAGTGTTTCCTGAGCCATCAGTAGGTAGGAAGGGTCTTCCACAGGTTCCCTGAGAGAGGCCACTAGAGGCAAGGGTTAGTTAGGGGGACTCAGGAATGAGCTTCATGGACTTGGTGCTCAGCAGGCCAAGGGCTGCTGCCCACCTAGGCACAGTCCTTAGAGGTGGCTCAGGGATCAGGACTCCTCTGCTTGTTGGTCAGTGCCCACCTTCCCTTTTCCCCTGGTCTCCTCCCCACTCCAAATCCCCTGTCTTACCTAATCCACTCCTCCTTTTCCTTTCCTAGGGCCCAGGGGTCCTCCTCTCTGAAGATGACTCCCTTTATGAGGGCACCTTTACCAGAGATTTGAGTCTCATGGGCAAGGTGAGGGCTGCCAGGACCCCATGCCACACCTTGCCAGCCCTCTGCTGGGGTCTTTGATCTCCCACTTTGGAGCCAGGCTAAGGGTGTGAGGAAGGCAAGGGTGGTGGAAGGGAGTAAATTCATAGCTTCTGCCACAGAGTTGCCATTTGACCCAAGAGCAAAGAGGGAGCAAATGGGGCAGGCCCAGCTGGTGCTGTACTCCTCACATTGATCCCCTAATCTGGAACATCCCTGAATCAATGCCTGGCAGGCATCCCTGGAGTGCCTTCCAGTATGTTCCTGGGGGTCTATGGAAATGTGGGGACTGTTTTGGTGTAATCATAAGTGGGGGCAGTGATGGGCATCGGAGGGGTGGAAACCAGGGATGTTATGTGTGGGGAAGCCCATGCAGCCAAGGATTGGCCTGCTCCAGGCTCTCCCTGCCCCTGGACGTGGCCCCATGTGGGTGATCCTGCCTCTCCCACCTCAGAGGTGGGGCCCTAGGCAGTGGCAAAGGTGTTGTTGATGAGGGTTCTTGTGGGTGGATGATTCTGAGCCCCTTGGGGTAGGGCATATAGGGGTGGGTGGTAGGAAACCTGTCCATCAGTTCCCAGCCTGTGTGATCCAAACATATGGGTGGTGGATGGGTGGACAGGTAGATGTCCATGTTTCCCTCTCCCGACTTCCAGGGCAAGGTCACATTCCCAAATGGCTTCACCCTGGAGGGCTCCTTCAGCAGTGGGACAGGGAGAGGACTGCAGACCCAGGGGATGCTGGACACAGCTGCCCTCCCACCTGACCCAAGCAGCATCCGTAAGCGGTGAGAACCTGGTCCATCTGGCCCTGTATCACAGAGCCTGTCTGGGGATGTGCCTGTGTGGGGTTCAGTTTCTACCCCAAAGAACTCAGGTCTCTGCAAAGACCTCTTCAAGCTCTGCTGTAAGACTCTCTAAGCACATGTTAGTGGGTTCAGAGAGCCCAGGGCTCAACCTTCACTCAGAGACTGACTTTTGGAGCCAAGCGCTATGTGGAGAGAACTCGCATGCCACAGAACTCAAGAATGCTATTTGTCGGACTTTGGTTAGACTCTCCTTTTTTCTAGGAAGGGTACCAGGCAGCTTATAAAACAAACAAGTAGGAATAAAATAGAAAAGGAAAACACTAGTTGAGCTTAAGAGAGAGAGATACAGATAGGCCCAACAGCAGTTTTGAGTAGCTAAGCTCTGAGTTCCCTGGCGACCAAGGTAAAGAAGGAAACTTGCTAAGTGGATCACCATCACTGCCATGGAGAATTTGAGAGGGGGCAGACTTCTTTTTCCATCGGGACAGAGTCCTTTCTTGGAGAACTATTATTGCAGGAATGGCTTGCTTTGTTGATGAAGACTTGGTCTGCATGGAAGAGGGTGCTTGTGCGGTGGGTTCAGGTTCTCATGGGACGTGCCCCAGTGGACAGCATTTCAGATGTTGATCCATTGTGCTTTTTCAGCCTGCAGACAGGATCTGCAAGTGTATGACAAACCTGGGGATACCACTCAGCCCCGGTTGGGAGGTATCTGAATATGATAAAGAAGGTTAGTGTGGGACCACACAGCCAGACCCCTGGACCTGGTTGGCTGGACAGGTCAAGCTCTAGAAGGAATTGGGCATGCTGGGAGGTTGAAGCAGGGGCTCAAGACTGAGTAATCTGGGCTGGCTTTGTGTGTTGCCTGTACTTGGGCCAACATTTCACTGTATGGACTTAGACTTCCAGCTCTCCAGTCTGCCTTCCTTTGCGTCTCCATCATTTGAGGGCTGTGCACCCCAGTGTCTTCAACTCCATGTAGATTCTCTCTGTCAAGGTCTCGCCTTTCTTCTTTTGGAGGCTTTGTGGTATCTCCATCTGTGTCCCTCGATCCGTCACCCTTCCCTAACCCTACTCTGGGTTCGGCCAGTACTGCTGCCTCTTCAAGGCCTGGACAGGGTTCTGCTCACCTTAGCTCCATCTCTGTCACAGGCAGCTGGGCTTGGGTGCCTTCCCTGTGGAGAGCCGCTGGCAGGGAATCTACAGCCCTTTCTGGGACTTTGTGCATGCTGGTTGCCCTGGGGACCTGCAGGAGGCCCTGCTGGGCTTCCACATACAGAGCTCCAGGGAACTGCGCAAGTCCCAGGAGTACCTGTACTGTGACAGGTGAGGTCATGGGGCTTATGGGTCAGAGTAGGCTGGGGATAAAGGCTTTCTGAAGAGGGAGGGCTTGGACTGGACATGGTTGAGCAATATGTGTGTGGTATCCAGAAACCACTCCAAGGACAGTATGCACAGTATAGAAGATATCTTGGAGGAGCTACTGAAGCACCGGGAGCCTAAGGCCCTGCAGCAATACCTCAAGAAGGTAAGGGCCCAAGCTAAGGTCAGAAAGCAGCCCATGGGTCCCTATTCGTTCTCACTGCCTCCTGGAGGGGAGGGGTTCCTTATTATCATAGCAGGGTGCTGACCAGAGGAGATTGGCCTGTGGGCCCCATCTCAGAGGGTCTCAGTGTGTTTGCCTGTGAAATGGGGGCAGTTTTGGGAGTCTTGCCTGGGCATGTTGTCCTCCAGGCCCTGGTGTTAAATGTCTCTTCATTGCCTACATCCTGGCCAGGCTCTGAGCAACTCGCTGCACCCCCTAGGAAAGTTGCTTCAGACATTGATGCTGACCTTCCAGGCCACATATGCAGGTGTTGGGGCCAACAAGCACCTACAGGGATTGGCCCAGGAGGAGGTGAAACATCATGCCCGGGAACTCTGGGCTGCGTACAGGTGAGCCTGCTGGGGACATGGGGACCTGCGGGGAGACAGAGGTCTCCCCTTTCTGAGTGTCAGCTCTGCCTGGAGCCAGGCAAGTATCACAAAAAACCAGAGCTTTGGTCAGTGTGGCCTGGTGAGTCAAAAGATGAAACAGTTGGGAAGTGATATCCAGGAGCTGACTCCACCTCTCACCCAGAGACAAGGGAGCTCCGACCCACTGCTGGCTGAGCCCCATCTCCAGCCCCATCGTGCACATTACAGATGAGAACTGTGGGTGCCACAGTTCTTCCTGTTGCTGGGATTCCAGGATTTCCCTGTGGACACTGTAATTCCAGCCTTCTCACTGCTGTGGTTTGAGAGGCTGGACTTTGCAGTCCCCGTTTCCATGGTTCTGAGCAGCCGAGTCCACCTGGACTGACCTTTGAAGCACTGCAGGGTGAAACTCCCAGTTTGGTCACACCATCCCTCTCTTATTGGTCTGCAGGGGTCTGCTGCAGGTGGCCTTACAGCGAAAGGGACAGGCCCTAGAGGAGGATGAAGATGCAGAAACAAGGTGACTGGCCTAGGCCCTGGCGGGCTTCTTTTCCCTGGTGGAACCTGCGTGAGTTCCAGGAAGACCTTGTCCCTCAGGGGAAAGGGATGCTCCTGGGGGAAGTGTTTGGGAAGTTCCTGCTATTGTCCAAAACATTGTTCATGGACCATTTGTGGGTCAGAATGACCTATGACCCCTGCCCTAGAGTGCAAAACTCATTCTAAATGGGTCATTCCAGCCTCAACTGTCATGTGCATGGAGAGTGAGCAGTCCCTAGGTACCCTCACCTTCACACAGATGGGGAAACTGAGGTCACACAGATCAGAATTTAGGAGACCCATTACATCTGTCCCTACCCTCCAATCTCAAATTTGCCTTCATGTTCCTGGCCCAGTGATGTTCCTGGTCAGAGAGGCCTTTCTGGTACTGCCTTGCAGGGATGTGGATGATAGAGTTAGGCATTAGGGACAATTGCCCTCTCGAGTTGTAGGAAACACAGAAAGTAGGAGCAGAACTAGCTTGGAATGACTACTGAGAACTTGGCTGCAAGTCACCTGTCCACTGGGGACCCTGGTTTTGTTTCTAATTAAATGGGTATCAAAGCCTTACTACACCTGTTGTTGGTTTGAAAGTCAAGCGAGAGAGTGAGGCAGCCAGACCAAAATCCAACACCACTGCCTTTGATTAGATTCTGACTCTTGGGAACTGTATAGGATAGAGTAGGACTACCCCCTCCCTCACACACGGGTTCCCGGAGATGTAGTCTGTACAGAAGAGACTGTACACCTCCCTTCTCCCATGATGAGGTAGTCAGCAGATAGCAATTGTGTGAGTCCATGAGTGAGCGAGCGAGTGAATGAACGAGAGTAGGCATTGGCAAGGGCTTTCTAGGGAGACAAGGGACACTGGTGAGGGTAGAGGGTCTGTGGGCCATCTGAAGGGTGGCCCCATGTAGTGATCTCCACCTCTACCCCCTTACCCTGCTGCTGCGGTCTCTGTCCCTCAGGGATCTCCAGGTGCATGGGCTGATGCTGCCCCTCGTGTTGCCCAGCTTCTACCCAGAGCTCTTCACACTCTACCTGCTTCTACATGAGCTGGAGGACAGTCTCTACAGCCAGGGCATCACCCACCTGAGCCTCTTCCCTGACACCAAGCTGCTGGAGTTCCTGGATGTGCAGAAGTGAGCCCCCACCACCTCCTTCTCATGTTCCTCAAACTCAGCTTAAGTCAGCAAAAAGAGGGGGCAGTGAATTGGTTCATTCCCCAGAAAGTTTTAGGGGCTATGCATTCAAGTGAGGCTGACTCTTAAGTGTTCACACACATGACAAAAGGAAGCAGCTTCTTTGTTTTGCTGGTCTTTCTCTGGCTCCCCCTGATGGTGGCAAACCCTGGACACTGAATATTTCTGTTCTTCCTGCTTGGCTGGCTTTCCCCATAGGGAGTTGGCACTTCCTCCCAACAGCTCCAGCAGAGCCCCTGAACTTGGTCTAACCCTGAACAATGGCTGTGGCTCATATTGGCCATTTTTGCCTCAGTATCCACCATCAGGGCTGGGGCAAGGTCACTGGCTCTGGACTCTGGATCTGAGAATGGAGGGGAAGGGGAGGCCTCCCAAAAGGCATTTCCAGAGAAGGCCAGGTGGGTGGTGGTCACTGCACCCCAGGGCCTGTTATCTGGCATCTTTCTGATCTGTTGTTGCCCCACATGAAGACCGCCTCGTCCCTTGCACACTGGGTCTTCCTTTTCCATCTCAGTGAATGTTTCTGCATCCATCCATTTGCAGAGAACTGGCTGCCAGCAGCCTCCCAAGTGTCTCCCTCCCCCTTGCCCCACTTCAGCTGCTCTTTGCTGTCTCCTCCATGCTGGCCACCCACTCCACTCTCCTCTCAGCCCAGTCTCCTCAGCTCTCACTCTCCAATCAGAATACTGGTGACTTTGTCCAGCAGGGGACCACTAGCCTGGAATGCCACCACTCCCTCACACATTTTGGGGCCTGGGTGAGGGGCTGCTTCCTCTGGCCTGGCTCCAACATCTCCACAGCACTGGGGGAGCTATTATGGAGCTGCCCCCTCCCCTGACCTGCATGCAGTGCTGCTAGGCGGGGCATGGTGGTACCGGCATGCATTTCCCTCTGACCTCAGACCCTGCTCCTCGCCCTCACACATCCCATTGAATTTCAGGCACCTGTGGCCCCTCAAGGATCTCACACTGACAAACAATCAGGTGAGGGGGTGGGCCCATTACCTGTCCAGCTGGCCCGGGCCTCTTGGTCCCTGAGAGAAGGCCTGGGGTTTCCAGAGAGCCTCTGCCACACAATTGTGGCCAGAAGCTGCTGAGGAGCTGGGTGGAGGCAAAGGTGCGGGTGGAGTCCTGATTTCCAGGTCTAGGTCAGGGCACAGTTGATGGCCCCCAGTGACCAGGCACGCCCTTTACAGGCCTTTCCTGATTGTGTAATGGTGGGCAATCTACTTTAGAGCCATGCCTCAGTTTTCTCATTGTAAAAGGAGTCTATACTGGCACCACCTAATAGGGTTGTGGAGTCCTGGTGTGGCGTTGTGGCTTAATGCGCTGGACTGCGATGTTGGTTTGAACCACAAGGTCAGCAGTTCAAGCTCACCAGCCACTCCTCGGAAACCCTATACAGGGTCATTATGGGTTGGCCCTTAACAACAACAACAATTGGGTTATGAGGATGAAGTGGGCCAGTACATGAAGTAGAGGTTCTCAAAGTGTGAACAATATTAGCATCATCTGAGATCCTGTTAGAAAAGTAGATTCTTGTCCCCAGATATACCAAGCCAGAAGCTCAGGGCTGGGTCCAGCAATCTGTTCCAACAAGCACGCCAGGGAGTTATGATGTGCTCTTGTTTGAGAGCGACTGACAGGCTCTTAGCACTGGTCAGTGCCCTCTGGCTGTTAAGATTGTTATCTTTGTCCTTTTTGATCAACCCAACCTTCTGGAGACTATTTACTTCCTTTTACACTTGGGTAAACTGAGGCCCACAGCGACACTATGACTTGCCATTGGCCATCAGGGCCAGAGCAGTGCTGAAGGATTGAGCTGGGTGATGGGGAAGGGAAGGGAAGGGCAGCAAGAGGCCCAGTAAGACCCATCTCACCAGTCCATTCACCATGCAGAGATACTCCCTGGTCAGGGACAAGTGCTTCCTGTCAGCCACTGAGTGTCTGCAGAAAATCATGTGAGTCCAGGCCCTGGGGAGCTGGAGGCAGTGGGAGCAGGGCTGCGGGCCCCTGACTGGGACTAAATCAGAGAGCCTTGACCTCTGCAGCACCACAGTGGATCCAAGGGAGAAGCTGGAGGTGCTGGAAAAGACATATGGGGAAATTGAGGCGACTGTGTCTCGGGTGCTGGGCCAAGAGCACAAGTTGCCCATGGATGACCTACTGCCACTACTCATCTATGTGGTGTCCCGAGCCCGGTGAGTTAGCCGCCCCCCCTCCCCTCCAGGCCTCCCTCCCACCTCCTCACCCTCACCCTCTAAGCACACTCCAACTCTAATGGGTCTATGGAGACAGCTGTTCATGGACAGATGGGGAAGATGAGACCCAGAGGGGGAGCCCTCCCCACCCAGTCCTGTGGGGGCTCCCTACACCCAGGGTCCAGTCGCTAGCTGCTTGCCCTGTCCGTGATGGACCCTCCTCTCCATCTCCCCCATACTCTTGGAGGGGGGATGTTCCCCAGAATCCAGCATCTGGGAGCTGAGATCCACCTGATCCGGGACATGATGGACCCCATGCATATAGGAGGCCTGTACGACTTCCTGCTCACCGCTCTGGAGGTGAGGGATGGGAGAAGGAGATGCCATCATGGCAGGGCAGGTGCATGTATCTTTACGGAAATGGCCCACTGAAAGGGGTCAGGAGGACATGGGCGTTGGGACCTGGGCCTCGGGCTGCATCCTGAGGCTGTGCAGTAGTAGGAGACTCAGGACTGAGTTAGAGACATGGCTGGTTTAGGCCGAGGTATTGGGCCCAGAGTCCGTGCGTCAGGCCAGGAGTGGTCAGGCTTGCTGACTCCAGCCTCACCTCTCTCCCACCAGTCCTGCTATGAGCATATCCAGAAGGAAGACATGAGGCTGCACAACTTGCCTAGCCGCTGGAACTCCAGGGAACTCTGGTAGCCCAGCCTCTCCCAGACAGCCTGCAGACCTGAGAAGGATCACATAGGAATTCCTGTAGGAGCAAGCAGGGCCGGGCAGGACTGGCTGCTCCCTACACTGTTCCCAGGCAACGAGGCTCTTATAGTCAGACTTTGGAGATGCCCTGATTGGGTGATGGGTGAAACATGTGACCAGGGCCTGGCGTGAGTCCAGTCTCCAGTAACCCCCTTAACATGCAGCAGCTCACAGGCTGGGAGTGAGGAGCCCCTGGCTTCTCCTGGTTTAAGCTCTCTACCATATACACTGGACGGTCTATACCGCTACAGACTTCCTATCCATCCTGAATTCTGGAGTTCTCCTACAAGCCTGGCCTCAGCCTGGTGGGCTGTAACTGAAGTTCTCAAGTCACTGTTGGTCTTGTTCCCTGTTTCTCCACCCTGGTCAGAAGGCTCCAGGCTACTCAGGACCCCACTATTGGTCAAGTGTGTTTCCCATCAATGATCTTTTCTCCTGGGGGCTCCCCTTCCTCCCAACCTGCCTCAGGCTGAGCAGGCCTCCCAGGTTCTCTACCCTGACCTGTGGTTGAGGGGATGGGATGGAGCTGGCTCCTGAACTGCTGTCCGCATTTCTGTGAGGGAAATGGTGGTGCTGGAGTGAATGGGAAGGGAATAAAACCACCTTGACTTGCTTCTGGTAAGCCCTGAGTAGAACATGACTCCCACACCTGTGATCTTTGTACCTGTATGTGGGAGGGACTGCCCGTGCACATAGCTCACCTGGGGCCTGGACCACTGAGTTATCTTTGGTTCAGGGGCCTGCCTTTGAGGGCAGAGGCTGGGGAACTCAGATGACTTGGGGAGGAGAGGACTTTATTCAAATAGTGGTCCTAGTGTGAGGTCAAGAGGCCCAGGAGTTGGGCATGGGGGCAACTTCATCCCTACCCAGCTTGTTTCTCCTCTCCACACTGAAGGGTGACCTGTAGGGGCTTCTTCTAACAGGAGATGGGACAGTAGGCAGCATGTTCTGAAGTAATTCAGGGAAAAGCGTGTGGGGAGACAGTGGACTGGCAGGGACCTGGTGGTGCTGAAGGGACTCCGAGGGTGAGCTGGGCCTACCTGCTGGCCCACATGAACTGGAAGACAGAAAGTTGAATCGCGGTTCTTAATGCCCTTTCCCTCCACTATCTCAGCGTGTGAGGAAGGCTTCTGGGAAGTCCAGTCCACACCTGAGCCCAAAGCTGAATGGTGACTGGTGGAGCCTCCTCCTGTGGCACCCACCACACCACAAAGAGGATGAGAGCCAGTCACAGAGAGGCTGAGGAGGCCCTGTGTGCTGCTGCCTCTGGAACAAGGGGCTCAGAGATTCTGCTAGTTCCATTGAGCAGGGCAGCCCCACTAACATCCTCAGAAGGCTTTAACTGACGAATTGAGGACATTTGAGATGCCACGGTGTTTACGTTTACCCAAGACTGTGGTACCTACCAGAATGCTAATCCTCCACCTGCCCCGGCCTCAGAAGCAGCCTGTCCAGAAACTCAGACACTCCCCATTTCTTCAGGACCAGCTTCCCACCCACCCTCTCACTGAACTGGGACCTCTGAACAGGGTCCCAGGAGATTGCTTGAAGCAACTTAGACAAAACCCATAGGGCAGAGGTCTTTGGCATTGGTGAATTCATTGATACCTCAGAAGGGACACCTGGAACCAAATAACCACCAGCTGTGCCCTGAGGCTAGTGGAGATGACCTACCTGCAGTCCTGAGCCCACACCCTCCCTGGCATGCAGCTAAGGCGATGAGCTTTTCCAGCTCTGGAACACTCTGGAAGTCTGCAGAGAGAACACACTGATGTCCCATTCTCTGGGAATCTGGTAGTCAGGGACGCCAGCACCTTTGTCATCTGACTGGCAAGGTCCACTTTACCCACCACCTTTCCAGTTTCCATCTCATTCTCCAGGATGAAGATGGTCAGGAATCCTTCCCTGAAAAGAGGTGAGTGACCAAGGAAGACACTGCTCATTTCTAGCTCCCAGACTACTTTGTGATGGCGACAGCAGAGGCTCAGGCAGGGGTGGATTACCCAACAAACGAGGCAATTACAGTGATGAGAAACATGTGAACTGCTTGTTAGTGAGTCATTGATAATCCAATACCAAACCCACTGCCATCGACTCGATTCTGACTCTAAACTGACGCTGTATAGACCCTTAAGTGACCTTCCTCCTGCCAACTGTAACCTGGGCACCCCTCAGCGCCTGCTTTCCCCACACCCACCACTTCTCTTTACCCACCATACCTACTGTCTGCTCCTTCTCTCCAACTCCTACCATCTCCAACTCCTGTCCCATGAGGTCTGGCGCTGATCCATCCTTACATGCCCAGTGCATGTGAATCCCTTGCCCCACAAGGAAGGAGCCTCCTCTGTCCCACAACCCTTTTTCAAAGGCCCTGCCCCACCCATCACATTCTGTCCTGGGCCCATTTCTGGTGCATGTGGTTAATGAACACCCCCTAACAAGTAGGCAGCTCTGCATTCTGTGTGCAATACTCATGGTCTCAGCACGGGCAAGTGTGCAGTACACAGCAGAAAAGTGGAAGGCAGGTTGATAATGAGAAAGGCTGGGCTACAAGGCCCTGAACCCAAGTGAAGGTCAACATTGAAGACTGGCCAGAGAACAACTAGGTGTGGTCAGCGCAGATATAATAGCTGGAGCAGAGGAAGCTGACAGCAAAACCTCAGGATGGAAAGGCCACCCCTCCACTGGCTCCGGCATCTAGACTGACCTCACCTGGGTACCAAGAGCTCAGACTTGGTCCTCCTTGTCCAGGGCCCTATCCCCACCTGGCAGCGATGATCTCCAGGTGAACAGTGTTGAGCTCCAGGGATAAGTAATGCCACCTGGTAGTCAGGTTACTGACCTCTACCCAGGTTGATGTAGATAGTGTGCTCCTGAGAAGAACAAGGGCGTGGTTCTCATGAAGCCCACTCAAGGTACTGCCACCCTTCCTCTGTTAAGGAACACTCCCCATGGGCTCCTGAGTGCCGGACCCTGTTCCTATGCAGGGCATGGTTTGGAACATGACGTAAATGGGCCTGGCCTTCAGTTGAGAAGGGCTGGCTCCCCTCTAACCAAAAGGTGCTGGCCAAAGTCCTGTGTTTGCTAGACAGAGGAGGCTGGGACTGGAATACGTTGAGTCCATGGCTAATCCAAAATGAGAGCAGTGGATGGAGCCCCACTCCTTACTCAGGCTGCTCCCATGATGCTGAGCGCCAGAGCAGAACCTGGAGCAGCCACTTCTGCAGTGACAGGTCCGACTGAAGGTGTGGTTTTTGAAGGAGAACCCTTCTGCTGGACAGCAAGAACACAGACCTGGGAGGGCACAGGCGGGGAATGGACAGCAAACCTCTTGGAGCCCTTGCCTGCTGTTGCTCCAGGGAGTGAGACTGTTGAGGGACAGAGGTGACATGGGATGGCTGCAGCAAATAAATGATCCTTGTGCTGGGGTTTATGTGAATGAGGTAGCTTCAGTGAAAGGGCTCTGCAACTTCCTTAAATGTCTCATTTTCATGTCAAGGTAGATGCTTGCTGGGAAATGCCCACTTTATTTGGTGGTTTTGCCCCAGACCCATCTCAGAATAGGATGTCAAGAACAGCAACATCAGGGAAGGTGGTCTCAAGGACTAATAATTGAAAGCCAGGAATTTCCACTCAGCTGAGCATTGTCAGGCAGTTGGTGTATTCATGCACCACGGGGCGCCTTTGCTGAGTGTCACCATCCCTCTGTCAAGGGCACCACAACACAACAAAACAAAAACCTCAAACCCACATCTGTTGAGTCCGTTCTGATTCATAGTAAACTTACAAGACAGAACAGAACTGCTACATAGGGTTTCAAGGCTGTCATCTTTATGGAAGCAGACTGCCACATCTGCCTCCCTTGTATTAACTGGTGGGTTCGAACCACTGACCTTTTGGTGAGCTGCCAAGTACTTCACTGCAGCACCACCAGGGACAGCGGTCACTGATCCTTGTGACTGAGATGATAGTCGGCTGGATGGCATTCTTACACACCCCTGCTTCTGCCAGCCCTCTAGTCTAGTGATCTCTCTCTGCCCCCACATCCTCCTCCTGTATCCTGTGTTACGGCTGCCACGTGCTGGGCCTGGAAGAGCCTGGTGAGCTCCCAGTTGTGTGCTTGACTCACTACCGCCATTCCACTGTGGCATTTACCACTGGGAAGCTCGTTTACCATCGGGTATTTTAAATATTTACTCAACACATTTTTGTCCATAATACATTCAGCAGTATCGGTTGCAGTCACTTAGGTGTGTGGAATGTTCGTCAAATAGAATACAACACAGATTAGTTTCAGGGGCCAGAGTGGGGCCAAAGTCTGCTGCCCTGATGAAACAGCCCCCCC